GGGTGCGGTGGGGTGGGAGATTACTTTAGCTCTTGTAAACGATGCAGCTCCTTTTCCCACTCCCGGTGTGGGGAATAATCCCATTCCACCTCCACTGCCGCCAGGTAGTAGGTCTTCTCTCCCGTGTAGTATGTGGAGTCCTGCGATTGATGGCCGCAGTGGTTCACAGTGTATTTTTGCTTCATGCCGCCTAGGTAGTGGTCCGTTGTGAGGCACTCAACATCAAACGTCCCTGGAAGGGCCGATAAGAAAGCGTGTCACCTTGGTGCTCACCGCCTCAGACCCCCACCAGGGTCCTTAACCTCAGCTTGTTAGACCCGCTGGCTTCCCATGCCTCGGTCTCCAACTCCTACTCTCCCCATTTACTGCTGCTCCAGCTACAGCAGCCTCTTTGCTGCTCCCAGAGCAGGCCCAGCATGTATCTGCTGCAGGGCCTTTGGACTTGCTGTTTTCTCTGCCTGGAACATTTCTCTCTCAATTATCCGTGTGGCTCGCAACCTCACTTCATTCAGGCCAGCCTGATTGTCACCTTCTCAAAGACTCTTGAGAAGTCTTTGAGACTTCCCTCCCCTCCTCCAACTCTATCCTCTTCCCTCGTCATAGCATTGACATACGTGTCTTAGTTTACTTGTTCTTTGGTCTGTCTCTTGCTTTAGAATGGCAGTTCCATGTGAGCATTTCATCTCATTGCGATACTTTATTTGTGGAGTGGCCTTAGGAAAAACGGGACACTAGATACATCATCATTTTAGTGGTCCACAGGGACCCAAATAATGCCTGAATTAAGTTAGCAGAATTTGGTTCATTTTATTTCTTTTTGTTTTAATTTTTTTATTTTACTGCTTTATAGCCTGTGGGCTCTCTGATTTGACATGATTATAGTTCTAGCTCTTTCAGCAGTCCATGGTAAACGGGGTCTGTCTCGGGAGAAGTCCAACCAGTAGGCTCCTTAGAGGCTTCGTCTCACATTCTCAGGACATGTTATCAGGAGAGACCAGCCTCCTGCTTGATAAACTAGAGGGGCGTTGGACAAGAGGCAGGCCCTCGGCAAGCTGGATGGACACAGAGGCTGTGACAATGGGCTCAAACACAAGAACAATTAATTCTGAGGGTGGTGCAGAACCAGGCCGTGTTTCGTTCAGTTGTACATCAGGTCACTATGAGACGGAACCCACTTGAAGGCACCCAGCCACCAGACCAATGTCGTTGGAATGTATGCTAGTCCATCGCATGCAACCAGTCAACAGCAAGACCAGTCAGTGTCTGCACGCCTGAGAAATGTTGGGACCCTTAGATGCATAGCCCTTGCGGACATCCTTCTTCTCCTAGCCTGATTTGCCAGCTCAACGTCAAAAGCACCGTCATTTTAAAGGGGATCACAGCTAGCATTCTACTGTGTGGAAACAGGAACTCACAGGTCAGGATGGTGCAGGACCCCACGCAGTGTTTGCTTTGGTTGTGCATAGGGTCGCTGTGGGTCCCCATGGACTCGACGGCGCCTAACCACGACAGAAAACCCTTTCTTGAGTTCGCCCACCCCACAAATAGAAGTCAGCCTGTCTTGTGTATCTGTCAGCAGGCGAGTGACCCAGGCTGGCTCTGCCCAGGGCGGGGGAGGGGGCCACTTGGGAGGCTTGTGGAAGGGATGAGCTTATCGACATGATCTACATCAAGATTTTTAACCGAAGCCACACCAATTCCTGGCACAGAGCCTTGGCCGGTTTGCAAGCAAGCACCTTGTGTGTCCGGCTGCATGAGGAGTGTCAGCGTTGTCTGGGGGAAGAGGTTTGCTGTGTCTCTCCTTTGTTGTCTGGACAGATAGGTGTTTCCTGAAAAGTAGATCCCGTGGATGTCGGCCTCGTTGCCAGCACTGAATAGGTACCAGACGACGGAATCTCCTTCGCACATGCTGAGACCGGGCTGATTCCCGTACATGAATCCATTCATGGCTGGAAGAGTTGGGGAAATCACATTTTAAATGCAGTTCACTTTGCGTCCAACTACACGACAACCCCTTATACATCCCAGAAACAACTTTGAGTCTTCATGATAAAAGACCCATTGGGGCCTGCCCCCTTTATGTCCGAGGGGTGCTGGCAACTCCTTGAGGTGCCCAGCCCTTCCAGAGCAATCCTCGCTGAGAGGGGCATGGCTGAATGCCTGCTCTTTGACGCTCTGCACCCTGCCCCGGCTCCATGGCCGTCTCATTGTTTCTTTTCAGCGAGCGACCTTGCTGTGACTCCAGGGGCCTTCCTGGTGGCCCCTGTTCTATGAACAGTAACTGCCTTTCCTGGGGACCACAGACTGAGAAGGTGAGTTGTACAGGAAATGCTCTGGTTCATTTAGAATAACAGGAGAGAGTACGTCAAGAATCTTTCTCGCATTGCTTTTTCTACAAGATGTTAGTCTTAACACTTCCAAAAGGCAGCGTTAAACCATCTTTTAGAAATCATGGGGAGTGTAATTAGTACCCGTTGAGGTGGGAAAAGTTATAAGACAACTTTTCTTTTTTAAAACCTTCTATCAGCCCCAATGCTTTCATGTGTTGCCTGTCAGCCACATGGGCCTTTGAACCATGACCTTTTAGGATTGCAGTAGAAGGAAAAATGTAGCTGTGATGCCGGTGGTCTCCATGAGGTAAAAATCTCCGAGTGTTTCAGGACATTGGTACATTTTAGTTCCCAAGGGAATCTAATATACAGTTAAGGGTGAGTCTCGTTGAAGTTTATTGATGATACTTATCTTTATACATATTGAATAATAAAATGAGTCTAACATGATTGAGGACCTCTGGCGGGGTCTTTGGCTACATGCAGGCCTCTTAACCAAAAGGTCAGTAGTTTGAATCCACTGAGCTCTTTTGCTCCCATGAGATGAGCAGACTCAGAACCCCAAGCAGCAGCCCCATGGGGCCAGTATGAGTCGGAACTGACTGGATGGCGAGATTTTGCCTCCCGTACTTTGGACGTGTCAGGAGAGAACAGTCCTGGAGAAGGACATC